TGATGCAGTCACGAACGTAATTTATTGATTTTTCATAACTTGAAGTTGAATATATTGGAACTGAATGAACATGACCGTAAAGCACAAAGAACTTCATTAACGAGAAGTTCTTTTCATTTTCTTGTTTGATATGTTTAATGTACAATAAGCGCTTGAATGGGACGATAAAATGTTATCTGTTTTGTCATAGGATTAAATGGAGAAAGAAAGAAAGGGAAGAGAATAATCTTCAGGTAATTTGCTTAATTTCCTTTCATATGTGTAGAGCAGTTTTTAGAGACAATCCCAGAACTTTTAAAGTGCATCTTACACTCTTTTAAAAAACTCATTGAAATCGTGAGAAAATTGAAATTCATTCACCCACATAAATTGCAACATGAGACGAGGAAGGAGAAAAAAAATCAAAAACATTTACAAAGTGTGTGCAAAACTGTTTATAAATGCGAGTTTCGTAATGAATGTTGCTTTTAACTTTTTCCTGCTTGAAGAACTTCAGGGTTACTTCCCAATATCTTCGGTTACTTAAATATACTCAACAAAGAAACAACAAAATTGTAAATCTCAATGAAAAAGAGTTTTTTGTTTCTTTGATGCCGCAGCATTGAAATTCGATGTTCATCTGTTTATTGAGAATACAACAGCAAGTAAAGAAAATAAAGTTCCGATAACAAAGCAAGAGACGCGAAATGTTTTATGGAATCGAGAAAAAGATTTTTTTATCTTTGCTTTTAAATGCTTTTACGTGTTGCCTTTGATCGGCGAGTTCTGTTAAAAAGTTCAATTAAAAAACATTTCTAGAAGTTTATGAAAATTTTGCACCATGCAGAAGCGCTTGCCGATGGAATAATAAAAAAAAGCGGAGAAAACTTTGTTCTCACAATTCTTTTCAGCACTTATTCGATGTTCAATGCTTGAAATTCTCCATTCATTTTATGGCATTCAATGAAGATCGTACAATCACGAAACACAGTGGAAATGTACGTAAAAGAAATGAATTTTTTGTTTTTCATGTTACTAAATAAACATGCAGACACGAAACGTGAAATAACGTAGCGAGAACAATGGCAAAGTGAAGAACAAAACGGGAAATAATTCTACGAAGAATCTTTCAACATCCTACGTGAACTACTCTACGGTTTCCTTTGTTGTTTATTTTAGAGCATTTGAAAATATTTATACATCATTACGACTCTTTAAAGTCGATTTCATGCTATAAGTTTTAACGAGAAGACGTTTTAGAGAATGAATATATTGAGATGATCTGTGAAACGATGATAATTAACATCATCAATAGATTCAACAAGGAAAGTTCGTCTTGTATAATGGAATTGAATTGTTGAGACACTTTATCACTTCTTTTCATCTTTTTCATCTTCTTCAGTGCGATGACACGTAAAATAAATCAGAATGCTAAGCGACCAAGTCCAATTACGATGATTTATATCGTGCTGCATGTTGTCGCTTCAAGTAAGAAACTCAATCAAACGAAGTGAAATTGAAAATGAATAAATTGATTTCTCGCCGACAAGTCATTACAAACACGAAAAGTTCATTAAGAATTCATCGAAAACGTAATTAAAGAAATGCTTTTTTACTCTATTTTTTACCTCCACAATGTGATTTAAAATCCTCGCAGCAATCGCCAAGTTTTAAACAAGCATGATCGCAATAGCACGGTTTTTCATTTGGATCTTCGTTAATGACGTTAATCGGCGTTTTTTGTACCACACACGATGAGTCGCGACCGTTGCAGCACAATGCAGCTTCGCGACATGAGCCAGCTTCTGTGTGATCCAATATTGACACAAACATCAAGCACCAAATGATGCACTTCACATTTGATTTCACTTTAATATTGACCGAGACTTTCATTGTTGACATTGCGTCTTCTTTTATCTTTTATAAACTTTTTTTTCTCTTTTCACAATTGATACTTTATTAACTCTCACCAAACGGTGCAAAAGTAGCTTTTTCGCTTTCAAATGACTTTTCTTTCAATTTCTTTTTTATTTGTTTTTACACTTGAACACTTCTTGTTTATCTTTCACAATTTCATTCTCTCAATTGTTTTCTTTTTCTTTTTGATTTTTACTTTTTTTATTTTTCGATGGAATCCACTTCGCTCCTTAACGTTGATTCTTCGTCTAAAAGAAGAATTAAATATATCGCTTCAGAAGCCTAAGGCGAAAAAAAAGAAGAAAAAAAGTTTTCGAGAATTTTATGTTCAAATGAATGGCATTGAAGAAAAAAAACATAAAATCAAGCAAAAGAAGATTAAATTTTTTTTTTCTTCCTCGAATGATTCGCAAGAAGTTGAAAATTATTTCATTGAGGTTGAATTGGGTTAGGATGGAAATTTTGTCTTTCAAGTTGAGAAGAGAAAAGAAATTCGAACCTTTTCTGATTGATTGAACATAACAGAATAATTAAGTTTTGGAAAACATTTGTTGATTGTATTGACGAGATGTGGTCAAACTAAAGTTAAGTTCAACATAAGATAAGTATGTTTAAAGGTTTGGAAAGACAACCGAAATACTTTTACATAAGTATTAAAAAAAATTCACAAATTGCAAAGTTTTGTGCTTTACAAAGTTTTTCATTCTTCATGTATCACCTTAAGGGATTTCTAAAGATTCTGAGCCTTTTCTTACTTTCTTCATCGGATATTTGAGAGGAATTTTTTAACATAAAATTTTCTGAGGGAAAGTTTCATTTCAAAAGGAAATCAATTCACGTTTGGGTGGGAAAGCGAATAAAAGTTTTAATGCAATCAGCTCTTGTTCCGAACTTATTGATTCTATTCTTTATGCTTTGCTCAACTGTGATAAAACATGTTGATTAATTACTTCCCTTTCATTAAAAGGAATTGAGTGAGAATTAAATTACGCAACTCCTACGAGTTTCTCTTTGTCGGCTGGGAAAACTTTTTAATTTTGTTGAACAAATTAAAACTTTTTATTTATATTTTCCCTTCATTAAGTCGTTTGGCGAAAAAGTTTACAATAATGTTGTAGCTGCTAACAGAATATCTAAATAAAAACTCATAAATAGACTTAGATAATTATTTCCACGAGTATTCTGAGACACGAGATGCTTTTGATATTTACGCAGTGAAAGTTTAAAGACATTTTATTTAATGTCTTATGTGTGGAAATGTTCTTCGTTTCATCATAAAAAGAGATTAGAAAAATTTATTCAAGTCGATAACCACAAATTTTGTTGGATTACGGAATAGATCTTAACATACATTTATTTTTAAACTTGAGTGGGAATGAAAATTGTGAAAATTCTTTATTCAATTCTATTTCCGTGAGTTTGGATTTTATGAGAGAAAGATTTTCGTTCTCGTTGCTTAACTAAAGTCTGGCATTGGTATGACAATAGAAAAGTAAGCAAACTCTAATCCTATAATGGACATTTCTTTTTAACTTCTCTCAGAATAATAAAATTTCCATAATTTCACTTCTTAATCTCGCGAACACCCTTAAAACTTTAACAATAGAAGGAAAAACTTTCGCTTATTTTAACTCCGATTAACATAAAAAAACTCTCTTGATTTCTTCACAGAATAATCCTTAAAATTTATAACTGATTTTTTTAACACCACGCACCTTACAATATTTCCGTCTTTAGCCGTACGCTGTCGATATAAGAATGAAGTGAAAAATGTTTAGAAGAGACAAAATGTTGAACTTTTCGTATGAGGAAAACATCAAACATTGTGTAAAACATTGCAACATTAAAACATTGCTATAAAAACATTACGAATGTTTTTTTTCTGATTCAGAACAAAACTGAAAAACATTCTTAAAATTCAATTTCGAGTCAAAATCCGGAACCTTTAAAGCGAGTAATCGAGACGGAAGTGTAAAAAAACTAATTAAAAATGTTTATCAGACAAAAAAAGTAGAAAAATGTTTTTTTCTATTCATGAATTTATAAATTAAAAATTTCAAAATGGAATGAATGAAAAAATCGAAGAGAAAAATGAAATGAAGATTGCAGATAATGTTTAATTGAATTTCATATTTTCTTCTTTATCTATCAAGGGATTTAATTTATCGATTATATTTACACTATAGTCTTTTAACAAAATATCATTAAAATTAATTTATCGAATTAAAAGATTTTTTTTTGATAATGGGACGAAATTAATTATCTATCTACTTGATTTGATTACGATCCT